TCATCCTCTAACTTGATATTGCAAATGTTTTATCTTGCACAAAATCCGCAGTCTATCAATCACGAATTAACTTAATCAGAAAATCGCGGTACCTATAGCTGGTCGACAGAATGCGAACGCGTTTCCCTCGAAGCCGACTGGGCAGCTGCACATCGGCACGTGATTAACAACATTGCAAATTGCGTTACTCGCACAAGTGCCGACACAAGGATCTTCACACTTGTTCCTCACACAAGCTCTGTCCCGAGGACAATCGGTGTTGAGCACGCACTCTGGTCGACAACCGAAATTGGAGTCTCCAAAATAATTGGGCATGCAAGAGCAAATTCCATTGTCGCATTGAGCGTTCGGTCCACAGGGAGATGGGTTGCACAAATCTACTTCCGACGGTTCAGCTAATATGAAATTTCAATTTCAATCAATTGTCAAGTAATTTATAAGCTTAATTAATTTTACTAATTAATATTGATAGACCTAATCAACGATTCTCTTTTGGAAATCATTACTCACGAGGGTTGATCTGTTGATTGCATTGACTGAACGGATCGCCGGTGTACCCTTCGATACACGAACACATGGGAACGTGATTGAACACTGTACACCGGGCATTGAAACCGCAAGAACCTGGGCAAGGATCTCTGCATCTCTCCTGGATGCAAGCTTGATTGCTAGGACATTCGGAATTAATTGTACACTCTGGTCTACAGTATGGCGGACTACCACGGTAGTTTTGCAAACACGTGCAAGCTGGAGTCTGACCCACGTTTTGGCAGATTGCATTGGGACCGCAGGGTGATGGCGAGCAAGGGTCTTTTTGTACCATAGGTGTTTCTACCGGAGCTTTTCAAAAAAGATTATTAGAATTTGTAATCAATACGTCACGCGTGCATTTAAAAAAGTAATACAATTTAAGAAAACGTGATTTTTTTATTAAAATTGTCTTTGGCAAACAAGAATAATTCAATCCTTTGTGAATTGAATAATAAAAATCTAAAAGAAATGAAGGAAGGAAATTTTATGACCTAAATTGTATTCACTTTTTAAATACAATTGCAGTACGAAATGTTTTTTATATTCCTGAAAATTCGTACCAGGAGCACGGAAACACGCGGTGAACGGGTCACCGGTGAATCCGTTTTCGCAGAAGCAAATTGGGCTGTGATTAATGATCCTGCAATTGGCGTTGACGCCACACGAGTTGGGGCAGGGGTCTACGCATTTTTGGTTCACACAGGCCCGAGTCAGAGGACACTCGGTGCTGGCCACACACTCTGGTCTACAATTAGGTGGAGTGCCGAGGTAGGAAGATCGACAGGAACAAATCGCCTGATTATTATTCACGCGACATTCGCTGTTCGGTCCGCAGGGTGAGGGGTTGCATGGGTCTGTCGTTTCATCTTCTTCTAAAAGATGGTTGATAAAGAATGATAGATGCATAAGAATAATTCGGTAGTCGAATAGTATAGAAGAACTTTCAAGAATACTGACTTAAAAAAGAATTCAATTTAGATTTTATGATATCATAAAAATTCAAATGATAAATTAAATAAAAATCTGAATCAGAAATTATTAAATTGGAAATTCTACACCGCTTAAATATTTTCTTTATATGAAGACTCTTACGACTGATCGGATTGAGACTGCAATATCTAAACGGATCCCCTGTATAGCCCTGCGTGCAAGTGCACATAGGTAGATGGTTCACGACATTGCACATAGCATTTTGACCACAAGCGCCCGGGCATGGATCTTGACATTTCGATCTGACGCACGCGAGATTCGCAGGACAGTCGGAATTCACGACACACTCTGGTCTGCAACCCTCATAAGGGTTTCCAATATAATCAGGCAAGCAGGTGCAAGCACCTGCGGTGCCTGAAGCCCTGCAAACGGCGTTCGCGCCGCAAGGTGACGGAGTGCAAGGCGAAGGTCTTTCTTCGGCAACTACAAGATATTAAAAATAATATTTACTTTAAATTCACGTAAAACAATAAGAATCACGTAGTGGTATTGCATACAAATTTTGTGTCGTACAGTGTGATCTGAAAGAAAATTGTATGAAAGGGGAACTTACTTTGAACAGGAGTGCATTGAACAAAAGGATCTCCAGTAAATCCTGTCGTGCAGGAGCAAATAGGGGTGTGACTGAACATACTACATTCAGCGTTAGCTCCACATAATCCTGGACAGGGATCTCTGCATTTCTGATTTATGCAAGCTTCGCGAATAGGACATTCGCTATTGCTGATGCATTCAGGTCTACAGTTCGGTGGGGATCCGATAAATTCTTGTAAGCACGAGCACGAGGGTGCTTGGTTAACGACTTGACATTGTGCGTTCGGGCCGCAGGGCGAAGGGTAGCACGGGTTAACCGGTTCCTGAGGTTCTTCGACTAAATGAATTAAATCTAATTAGGGTACAACTCTAAATTACTATTTTTATGTCAGTTTGGTTCGATGTCTCACCTATAATAGTACAACTAGTGAAAGGATCACCAGTCAGACCTTCGGGACATCTGCAAATGGGATTGTGATTGACCACAGAGCATTCCGTCCTCAAACCACATGTTCCAGGACAAGGGTCTCTACATTTCTGATTGATACAAGCTCTTGACTGCTCGCAGTCCGAACTGACCACGCATTCCGGTCGACAAGTAGGCGGATTGCCTGTGAAACCTTCTATACACTTGCAAACCGCGATTCCGTTCACTTCCTGGCAGTGACTATTTGGTCCACAGGGCGAAGGGTTGCAAGGATTCTGAGCTACGTCTTCTAATAAAAGAACAGGAACTTCAAATTGAAATTCAACAACATAATTTATCAAATTTCTGTAAGAGAACAGATCTCTTAACGAGAATATAGAATTCTTATTAATTGAAATTTGGGACACTGTACCCTGAATGGGGGAACAGGAAACGAAAGCATTTCCGGACATGCCCACGGGACAGCTGCACATAGGAACGTAATTAATTGTTTGGCATTGGGCGTTTTGTCCACATGTTCCTATACAAGGGTCCACGCATTTGTTCCTCATGCAAGCTCTGTCGCGAGCGCAGTCGTTGTTCATTACGCACTCGGGGCGGCATCCGGTGTACGGATCGCCTTGGAATTCTGGGAGACACGTGCACGTGCCGTCGCGACAGAGTGCGTTTGCACCGCATGGTGAAGGGTTGCAAGGGTCTGATATCGGTTCCTCGGCTGTTTGTAAATTCAGATTGAATTAGCGAGAGTTTAATATATAATTAAAAATAATTTAGGAGAATATTGCAGTGAATTCAGAAAATTAAAAAAATGTATAAAAAAACTGTTCGAGTAAAGACAAACGATTGAGGCTTTTAACATTAATTCCCTCTTGAATTTAATGAACAAGTTCATTATGTAAGTTGCAGTGTGTTAAAAATTTTGAAAAATTCAGAGATGTACACATTACATAATTTACTTAGATTCTTATACTGGAAATTGAAACAGGAAAAAATGCCTGACGCTGCTGATGACAATAAATTCATGATTTGAACACCTTTTAAAGTGTATCATGTAGAATTATTTTTCTGAAATCACATTTAATACAAAAAAGATCCTCACGTATTACGGGACTGAGGACGCAATTGCTGAAGGGGTCTCCCGTATATCCTTCAGGACAAGAACAAATCGGGACATGATTGAGAACAGTGCATCGTGCGCCGAATCCACAAGATCCTGGACAAGGATCGGAACACTTCTCGCGAATGCAAGCGAGCGCACTCGAGCACTCCGCATTGATCGTGCATTCTGGTCTACAATTAGGCGGGATACCAATGTAAGAGGTTGAACAGGAACAGGAAGGGTTCCCTCCAACATTGCGGCACTGCGAGTAGGGACCGCAAGGGGATGGCAGGCAAGGGTCCTGTTGCGTGGGCGTTGCAACTTCCGGACCTGTAGAGTTCAATACATGAAATCCTGCGTTCACAATCAATTTTCTATTTGTTTAGATTTCAACTCTTCCTCGTCAAAATTGCTGTAATTTCTATAATTTCGCGACTTCAACTGGAAAGAATTGAAACGAATATTGATGTAAAATACGAACGTGGGGTGGGGAAACAGATGGTGAAAGCGTCCCCGGTAAAACCTGGCTGGCAGGAACAAATAGGACTTCGGTTGATGACTCTGCAAACCGCGTTCCTTCCACAAGGATCAGGGCAAGGGTCAACGCACTTCTGGTTAACGCAAACCCGATTCGGAGCACATTCCGCGCTAACTACACATTCTGGCCTACATGACGGGGGTGACCCGATAAAATTTGGCGAACAGGAGCATACAGCTTGCCCATTGTTCTCTCTGCAGACACTATTCGGTCCGCAAGGTGATGGTTGACAGGGATTCACCACACTTGGCAAGGTAACTGCTCCATTAAAGTAATCACAATCAGAATCTTCAGATTCATAATTTTACTTAGAAATAATTGTGTTCTACGAACCTATCTCCTCTTCTCTACAAAATCTGAATGGATCACCGGTGTATCGGGGCAAGCAGTTACAAGTGGCCACGTGATTCACTACTTGGCAAACTGCGTTCTGGCCACAAGTGCCGGGACATGGGTCCTCGCATTTGAATCGATTGCAAGTTTTACTTGGTACACAATCTGAGTTTATCACGCATTCCGGCCTGCAGCCCTCGTAAGGATTGCCTATGTACCCTGCTAAGCAGGAACACGAACCTACTCCGTTTCGTTCTTTGCAGAGTGCGTTCGCACCGCAAGGAGATGGTACACAAGGTTCAGGCATGTACATTGGTATAACTACAAATTAAATTGCAAATTAATCGAGAGATAAAGTTAAATATTACTATTACATGAAGAAAAAGCGTTTGTTGGTATGTTAGTAAAAATCTCAAAAACGACTGAGACATTTATATCGAATCGCAAAGCCGTCACGGAGGCTGTTAGTAGATTATAAATAGCGTTACGAGTATTTAGAAATGATCTTACGTTGTTGAGTAACACATTGAGTGAACGGATCTCCGGTGAATCCTTGAGAACAAGAGCACATCGGTGTATGGGATACGATATTGCATTCGGCATTCGCGCCACAAGAGCCCGGGCAGGGATCTCTACATCTTTGATTGATGCAAGCTAAATTGCTCGGACATTCACTATTGCTGACGCACTCCGGTCGACAGTTTGGAGGAGAACTAACGAATTCTGGTAAGCAAGAACACGATGGGGAGTCGTTCACTACTTGACATTGCGCGTTTGGCCCACAGGGCGACGGCACGCAAGGATTTTGTTGCGGTGGCGCTTCCAATGCTAGAATAGAATTTGATTTAGGCAGGTGAAGCTACATGAAATTGATTGAACGCGATGCTGAATGATTAAACTCACGTTTCTCCGTACACCTGACGAAGGGATCGCCAATCATGCCAGTAGGGCAATTGCAAATCGGATTATGATTAACTACTTGACAAGTCGCCCGGATTCCACAAGTGCCGATACAAGGGTTGCTACATTTCTGATTGATACAGGCTTCGGTGGGTCCGCAATCCGTGCTCACCACGCACTCTGGTCTGCAAGTCGGTGGAATGCCGACAAAACCAAGAATGCAAGTGCACACGGCTTGCTCGTTAATCTCTCTGCACTGACTGTTCGGTCCACAGGGTGATGGATTACACGGATTAGACACGACAGGGTCTAATTAAACGGACAGTCGATTAATCTTTGAATTCTTAAGAAATTTCAAAAGGAATTTTGTAGTTTTGTATTTTTTTTTATATGATTATACCTCTGAATGGGCTGCAAGATATGAAAGCGCTTCCCGTCATTCCAACAGGACAACTGCACATTGGTATATGATTATATACATTACAAATCGCGTTTTGACCACAAGTGCCAGTACAAGGGTCCATGCATTTATTGCGTAGACAGGCTCTGTTCAAGGGACAATCCGTATTTAAAACACATTCCGGTCGGCAACCGACGTAAGGGTCACCCTGATACTCGGATAGACATGTGCAGACACCGTCGTTGCATTGTGCATTGGGACCGCAAGGTGAAGGGTTGCATGGGTCTTCGGGTACCGTTGCGACAGCTACAAGTAATGGATCAAAAACTGATTCTACGAACATCTTAAATATTTGATTAAAAATACAGAGTGAATTTGTACTATGCATCAGAGGTAACATCCTGTACACTGATTTGATTAAACATAACATTCTATGCATTTTTCATGAGAGAGTATTCACTCTATTTTATCAAAACAAAATTAATTTTTCAGTGTTCTAGTAAGAAGAATAAAATATTTCTGATAATTCACTCTGTATGTTTTTTTAAATTTAGGAAGTCTTACGCGGGGCGGGAGAGCAGCTGCTGAAAGGATCGCCGGTGAATCCCTCTATGCAGGTGCAAATTGGAACGTGATTGAAAACCGTGCATCGCGCGGACAGGCCGCAGGAACCAGGGCAGGGGTCCGTGCATTTCTGTCTGATGCACGCTCTGTCGCTTGGACAGTCCGAGTTCACTGTACATTCTGGTCTACAGTTGGGTGGGCTGCCGAAGTAATTAACTAAACAGGAACACGAAGGCGCGCCACCGATATCTCGGCATTCTGAGTACGGACCGCAAGGGGATGGTACGCAGGGGTTTTGAGGTAGATCAGGTAACGCTGGTTGAGCTAAAGAAATTATAAGCAATTTAAATCTATGAATAATAATTTCTTAGAGAAATTATTTTGGAGTCAATGGAAACTTTGGTTGAACCATAGAAATGATAAATGACAAAAGTTATTCAAAGTGAAATAATTGTGACTGCAGGTACAAATGGGACTGTGATTTACGACTAGACAATTAGTATTCTGTCCACAGGGTCGCGGACACGGGTTCACGCATTTCTGATTCACGCAGGCACGGTTCGAAGGACAGTCCGAGCTGACGACGCACTCCGGACGACACGAGGGAGGAGTTCCGGTGTACTCTGGCAAGCAGGAGCACACCGCGTTACCGGAAACGACCCGACACTGACTGTTCGGTCCGCAGGGCGACGGAACGCACGGATCTGTTTGGTCTTCGACTTTGTCTGGGGAATAGAAACGTTATCACCATGACTGATAAAACTGTAGTACAAGCATATATAAAAATTCCACAGTAAACTAATTATACCGTTTATGAAAAATTATTCTTGGCTTGTACTACAATTTTTATGTGATCTGAAATACAATATACTTTACCAGGTTCTCGCATAAGTTGGCAAAATCTGAATGGATCTCCCGTAAAACCAGGAATGCAAGTGCACATGGGGGTGTGATTGATAACTTGGCAAACAGCGTCTTGTCCACAGGTTCCTGGACAAGGATTCTGACACCTATTTCTGATACACGCTAAGTTCGAAGGACAGTCCGAGCTAACGGTACACTCCGGTCGACATCCCTCATACGGATTGCCGATGTACTCGGGCAAACATGCGCAAGATCCTACACCGTTTTGCTCTTTACAGATCGCGTTCGAACCGCAGGGTGATGGAGTGCAAGGAGAAACTGGCCTCGCTAAATCGATAAAATACACTTCAGCTAAAGCAATTTCCATTATAGTACTTAAGTTAATTCAACATTCTTTCAATCTATGGAAATAATGTTAATTTAAAATACTAAGATGAAATAAATAAGTTGTTCAGACTATCTATAGCGTCTAAAATCTGAGAAAGGGTTAAGTAAATTGTTTATAATTCTTACATTCTTCGAATAGAACGCACTGCGTGAACGGGTCGCCAGTGTACCCATTGGAGCAGACGCACATGGGTGTATGACTGACCACGCGACACTCGGCGTTCGACCCACAGGATCCGGGACAAGGATCTCTACACTTTTGATTGATGCAAGCCTGATGGTCCGGGCATTCACTATTGCTAACACACTCGGGACGGCAATTCGGCGGGGAGTTAATAAATCCTGGCATGCAACTGCACGACGGGGAGTCGTTTACCACCTGGCATACCGCGTTAGGACCGCAAGGTGATGGTTGGCATACGTTTACGATCTCTGGCTTGGTTTCCGCTATAAGGATTTTTCACGAATAATTCGCTGCGTGCAGTTGGATCAAATTGATGTACATACGTTTGCTCATAAGTCTTCGGACATTTGGCAAAACGTATAGTCGAATGAAACTTTGGACGAGTATATTTAGATAAATTTGATACGTGATACTCATCGAGATTTTACTTTTTGTATAAATCGTGATATAAAAAATTGTTGAGTTGAAAAATGTTCATTTATCATTAAAATAATAGCAGGAAAATTAATTACATCCTTGTTTGAATTATAATTTTATAAGAAACGTTCATATGATTTACTATGATTTTCCAATTGAACTTGTTTATAATGAATCATTGGCAGATTTTTTATGCACTTGGAAATATCGTAAAACTTATGAGCAGGAGTATATATCGAAAGATTTTCATGAAATCTCTTTGAACATCCTTACTGATAGGAAAGCATCCAACGAATGGGTCTCCTGACATTCGCGCAGGACAACTGCATACGGGATTGTGATTGATGACTTGACACTGTGCGCGGACGCCACAGCTTCCCACGCAAGGGTTCACACACCTCAAGTTGCTACATGCCTCATTCCTGGCGCAGTCCGAGCTGACTACGCACTCTGGTCTACACGAAGGGGGACTCCCGATGTAGCCAGGTACACAGGAACAAACAGCTTGGCCATTGATTGGCCTACATTGACTATTCGGACCACATGGAGACGGACTGCACGGTGTTTCCGGAATTACTTCTGGAGATCAGGATTATCCAGTCGATATGATAAATCGTTTAGAATTTACTTAACTCGTTGTATGAATAAAAAAATTCCAGAATACTTTTGATAATGATTGATAAGAAAAATCTCTATCAACGAAGAATGCAAGGTTTCCTATTATATAACATAAATAATTTAATATTTAATAAATTGATAGAAGACTCTATCAAGTACCTTGAATTTGGGAACAGAGGACGAAGGCATTGCCACTCATCCCAGAGGGACAACTGCACATTGGAACATGATTGAAAACATTGCAAATAGCATTCTGTCCACAGGTGCCTATGCAAGGATCGGTGCACCGATTACGGACGCAAGCTCGATTCAATGGGCAATCGGTATTGAGAACGCATTCGGGTCTACATCCTACGTATGGGTCTCCTTGATATTCGATTAAACAAGTGCAGACTCCGTTGTTGCACTCTGCGTTCGGTCCACAGGGTGACGGATTGCAAGGGTCATCAGATATTGTTGATTCTAGGCGATATCAAAAGTAGACTAATGATTTACACGATCTTAGATTGACTAGAAATTAGACTAGATGTAACGACTGATAAAACAATGTGAATTTTGTGTTAAACGATTGATGAGATTAGATTGACTAGAACTGAGACTGGATGATTAATAAAATAAATGGATTTTGACTAACTGATAAGATTAGATTGATTAGACAATTGATGAAACAATTTCGATTCCGGAGAAAATCCAAGCGAATGATTGACGATCTTACGTGGTGGTTTGGTATAGCAATTGCTGAACGGATCTCCGGTGTAGCCTTCGATACAGCTACACATGGGCACGTGATTGATCACCGTACACTGTGCGAAAGTACCGCACGAGCCGGGGCAAGGGTCTCTGCATTTTTGGTTCATGCAAGCCTGATTGCTGGGACAGTCTGGATTTATGGTGCACTCCGGTCTACAATTCGGCGGGCTGCCCATGTAGGTTGGTAAACAGGAACAGGACGGGGCACCTCCGATATCGCGACATTCCGAGTTCGGGCCACAGGGGGATGGTACACACGGGTTTTCAACGGGAGATGGCAATGGTTCTGAAAAGAATTTTCCTTACTTTCTGTCTCCCTAAATTAGAATCCCATTCCAATTAATTCTGATTCATCTATTAGACTTTAGCTTTGCGATTAGTCGGACGGTTATCAAATGTTGGACGTAGGGTACGATTATTCAAAGCAATGTTTTAGTGCAATTCTAAAATTGCAAATGTCCTTTTCTTCGTAATAATAACAAATGAGTTCAAGAAGGTTCAAGTTAACGAACAGAAATTATACATTCTTGTCTTAATTTTAACAAAAGAAGGACATTTCGTCTATTCTATTAATAAATAGTTAAGAGTTGATTTAAAATTAATCTCCGTGCTTGAGTTTGATTCTTACTTGGCGTGGAAAAACATCTGGTGAACGGGTCTCCGGTGTAGTCCAACTTGCAAGCACAGATCGGACTATGATTTACGATCCTGCAATCTGCGTTAGAGCCGCAGCGGCCAGGGCAGGGGTCAGTACACTTCTGATTAACGCAAGCTCTGTTCAGGGGACATTCCGCGCTGACCACGCACTCGGGTCGGCATCCGGGTGGGCTCCCGATATAATCGGGGAGGCAAGTGCACACGGCTTGGCCGTTGTTCACGCGGCATAAGCTGTTCGGTCCGCAGGGCGAGGGACTACAAGGGTTTCTATCCACTGCTGCAATTTGTGAATTATTTCTCAATCCCTCCTACATCAAATTCACAAGCGATTTAACCCAGGCTAATTATATTAGTGGATTAAATTAGCGATTCATTTCTCGTCTTATCAATTATAATGATGTTCATGAGGAAGCTTTCAAATATTATTGTTTCTTCATTCTGCGATATGGGTTAATACAATCTATTCCGTTTCTACAATTCTGTTGATGCGTGACTGATGATGGCGAGTGACGGAAATTGGGCGTTTAGACTTACGGGTAACCGTTGGCTGGATATAACAGTTCACGAAGGGATCTCCCGTGAATCCAGCGCGGCAGGTGCAGCTGGGCAGGTGATTGATCACCGCGCAATCAGCGTTTTGACTGCACGTGCCAGGGCAAGGGTCTTGGCATTTCGATCTGGTGCAGGCTAGATTCGAGGGGCAGTCGGAGCTCACAGTACACTCGGGTCGGCATCCCTCGTACGGGTTTCCTATGTAATCCGGGGCGCAGGTGCAGGAGCCAGCACCGTTTAACTCTTTGCAAATTGCGTTCGGACCACAGGGCGACGGGGTGCACGGGGATTGCGGCGTGGGTTCGATTTCGGCTAAAAGATAGTCGAGGGATGTTTAATTGATTTGTTTTCTATGAATGCATCGGATCCCCGAGGTGTTAATACTTTAGTTGGTACATAAATTAAACTCATGGGTGGGTTAAATATTATCAAGGTGATACTTCGTTCCAAATCATAAAACAAATCTAATATTCCTTTAAATATCATGCCAGGTCTTCAAACTATTAATGCAAATTTATAACATCTAAGGTTAATTGGGAGATTTTGTTCCTGTGTTTGTGTAAACTGTATTCTTAATCATCGAAAATAGCTGCATAATAAGAAGCTTTGACCAGTGGCTTCGAAACCTGAAAATTCCTATTTAGTTATGAGATAACAAGTCTTACGTTTGGGGATACACTGCGTGAAGGGATCGCCTGTGAAACCAGCCAGGCAGCCGCACATCGGTGTATGACTGACCACCCGGCACTCAGCGTTGGAACCACACGAGCCTGGACATGGATCTCGACACTTTCGATTGATACAAGCCAAGTTGCTAAGACATTCGCTATTGCTGACACACTCTGGTCTACAATTGGGAGGGGTGCCTACGAATTCCGGTGAACAAGAACAAGAAGGTGCTTCGTTGATGACTCTGCATATAGAATTGGGCCCGCAGGGTGAGGGTACGCATGGGTTTTGCGGCTGCACAGGCTCGAGTGCTAAAAATACACCTCTGGTTACCTCCGAGGGATGGGAATGAAATTTTGATGAGCTTATAGGATCCTTACGTCGTGGAATACATTGAATGAATGGATCGCCAGTGTGTTCGGGCAAGCAACTGCACACGGGATTGTGATTGACAACGTTACAAGTAGCTCTGATCCCGCAAGAACCAGGACAAGGATCCACACACTTTTGGTTCGTGCATGCTTCGTTAAGGGGACAGTCAGAGCTCACTGTGCACTCCGGTCTGCACGCGGGAGGTGCACCCAGAAATCCTAGCACGCAGGTACATACTGGCTGTTCGTTGATCTCGCGACAAATACTATTCGGTCCACAGGGCGAGGGTGAGCAAGGATTCGTTTTTACAGTATCTGTCATAATATTATTCCAATTTAGAAAACGTTGCCAGGTAGATTGAATCATGTCAAATTCTTATTCCATGAGAATGCAGAAATTCAAATTATTTTTATAGTAAATTTCCCAATTTCTGTTTAGATCACAATTTTTATTTACTGGTATATGTATATAAAATAATCTAAAAATATAACCAGTGACTAGAAATTGTTACGTGGACAGAAATCGGATCATTTACTATACATATGTATTTTGCATAGTCCGTTGAGATGCAATATTCTGAATAAGAGGACGTTATAATAATGAATTCAAGAATAGGGAAAAAATACCTTGAAGGATGCATTGAACAAACGCGTTTCCAACCATTCCGTTAGGACAACTGCACATAGGCATGTGATTGTATACTAGACACTGAGCGTTTCGACCGCAGGTACCGGGGCAAGGGTCGACACACTTATTCCTGATACAAGCTCTATTCTGTGGGCAATCCGTGTTAAGAACACACTCCGGTCGGCAACCGATGTAAGGATCGCCCTGATACTCCAGCAAACACGTGCAAATTCCATTATCGCAACGCGTGTTCGGGCCACAGGGCGAATTCGCGCACGGGTCAACAGTCGGTTCAGCTGTGAAGGATGAATATACTTGACTTTGTAACTTCCTGTATCTCTCACAATTCTTACAATTGCGCTCTTCTTACTTGGTCTCGGGGCGGGGTAGCAATTGCTGAAGGGGTCACCGGTGTATCCTTCGGGGCAGGTGCACATAGGCACGTGGTTGTAAACTGTACAGAGCGAGGTCACGCCGCAAGACCCTTGGCAGGGGTCTCGGCACTTTTCGTTGGCGCATGCTAGATTCATGGGACAGTCGGAATGGACGCGACATTCCGGACGACAATTTGGTGGGATACCTAGACATCCTGGCAGGCAGGAACAGGAAGCTGTGCCACCGATGTTTCGGCATGCTGCATACGCGCCGCAGGGTGACGGCACGCACGGGTCTTGTGGGGCCAGGGGAAAATCGTTCTGGGGCTCTAAAATTCATTTGTGATTTTATAAAAATAATGAGCTTTGAATTAGACTGAAGATTATTAACATTGTTTCTCGATATGAATTGCAATTGAAGTATGTGGGTGCAAAAATGAATTGAAGTTTAACGAGTACATCGTGGGAGTAAATTTTTAGTGATGGAATTATTATAGCGATGGGAATGGCCAGAGGAAAATTATTCTGGATTCGTGAAATCCACTTTTGATATCATGAAATGATGACTTTGAATTGGTGCTTGATAACTGTTTTCATTATCCTTCAATATGAATTGAAGTACAATGCGATAATGAAATAGAGATAACTTTCTTTGGGATATAATGTGAATGAAGCTGACGAATTTTTCATGAATTATTGAAAATCGAACAATGATGCGATGAGAGATGGTCGAATACCACAGTGGAATTCTTACGTGGAGCGGGGAAACATCTGGTGAACGGGTCACCGGTGTATCCGAAATTGCAGAAGCAAATTGGATTATGGTTGACCACCTTGCATTGCGTGTTGATACCGCACGAATTTACGCACGGCGACGTGCATTTCTGATTGATGCACGCGAGCTCTCTGGGACACTCATTGTTCACTACGCACTCGGGGCGACAGTTCGGCGGGGTTCCAACGAAATTCGTCAGGCAGGAGCACACGGCGTGGTCGTCCACGTTTCTACATTGACTGTTGGGTCCGCACGGTGTGGGACTACAGGGGTCTGAGACGGTCGCTGTACGGAAAATCGGATTAAACAGCTTAAGTACGAAAGCTGGGTGCTTCGTGCAAATCTAAACGAGTCAAGCTTATATACACCTCTGTTCATAAGTTTTACGATATTGTGAAGTATTCAAATTTGTTTAAGAAATGTAACATTGAAAGAATATCTCTAAAATTACCCTCAGTTGGATTATTAAATTAAATCCAAATTAGTATACGACTCTCATTAATCAATTTTTATAGATTCAGATGAATTGCTATGAAAAATTTTGTATTATTTATTATCGTAACACTTTATTGCAAAATTACAATTATATGATTTATTAGAATCCTTCTATGAAAGCAGTCTCTGCTGGTTATTAATTTGAAACAATTTCAATAGATAATAAATATTCGGAAGTATCGTAAGACTTATGAAACTGGTGTAACTGGTAAGCATTGTTCGAAATGGGAGCTTACGGGTAACAGGGGCCGGGGTGCAATAAGTGAAAGGATTGCCAGTATAACCAGTGTTACACGAACAAACTGGAACGTGATTGATCGTTTCGCATCGGGCCTGCAGTCCACAGGTTCCTGGACAAGGGTCTTGGCACTTGAGCCTCGTGCAGGCCATCGTCATCGGGCAATCGGAATTTTGGGTACACTCGGGTCTGCATCCTTGGTACGGGTCGCCTATGTAATCTGTCGGACAGGAACAGGAGCCGACGCCGTTGTTCTCGCGACAGATCGCGTTCAGACCGCAGGGGGAAGGCTCGCACGGTCTCCTAAGATCTAGGGGTACATCTGACGGGAAAGAAACACTTATGGTTTTATCATCATGGTCAAAGCTTGTGCAGCGTGAAGGTCGGTCGATCGAGATTTGTGAATGAATGAGCGAAAGCTTCTTCGCATGATAAGCAATTAAATGCTTGATTTCTTTGCAGCGAGATTCGATGGTTCATTGTGTGGTTTTAATGTAGCATGGATATGACGTCTTCGTGCGTGTTTTTAACTTCTAAACATTCATTAGCATCTATTAGGGCATTCGCTTAACGTTCTTGTTTTAGCATGGTATTAAGCATATTTTTGAGACTTCGTGTTTTGTTTGCTCTGTTCTAAGCATTCACTATATGTTAGGGGATGTTTTTTCTTATTATATATTAAATTAGTGTTTGACTTTCATTAAAAGGTTTAATCCTCCTTAGGGTATTAACTTGCATTACTTCTTAAGAAGCGTGTCCTCAGTACTATCTTTAGTCCAAAGGTACAAGCTTGAACAATTGTTCGGGGGTTAATGTTTCCGTGTCCAGGGGTGCTTACATAATCAGGGAGTCGCAACAAAATTCTCATCAGCAGGGCATTCACAGTGCCTCTCTAATGTCAAAGCGATATGCTTGGATTGGGGATAGTGCGTATCGTTTCACCTAATCAAGGGGTGAATTATCGGGTATTGGGGCTTATTACTGAGGGGGTGAGTGCAATAATTAGAGCCTATACTCCGTAGGCCCCGCCACCATTCTTTCTCATAACTCGGCTAACTTAATTCGTTGTTACTCTCTCATACGCAGGGGGGGGAGGGGGGGATTTTCAAGGCGTGCTTAATTCAACGGGCTCGTTAATCGCAGGGACAATCATAATAATCCATTTTTTAACGTGAGTGCAAATAATGCTCAAGGCCCCGCAACCATCGTGACGCTTTGTCACTTTGTTAGGGCCTCTATTTCATCAATTTCTACGTTCGTTAGTCAACTGAATGATCACGAAGAGTGAGTGGAAGCACTTACCTGTTGCTCGCCCGCATGCAACGGCGACGTATGCAGTAAGGGGAGGAAGGATAGCAAAAATATTGTCTCGAGTGGACTTACCCTTGGTGACCGGCTCGCAAATGCTGAACGGATCCCCGACGAAATTTTCTACACAAGCACACACCGCGTGGTGATTCACTACCGAGCATTGCGCGTTCGAACCGCACAGACCGACACACGGATCGCGACACTTTTGCTGCAAGCACGCCAAATGCGGCGGGCATTCCGGATTGATCGTGCACTCGGGTCGGCAATTTGGCGGGACGCCCACGTAATTTTCGATGCACGAACACGCCGGACTATCGCCGCGCACTTGACACTCCGCGTTGGGACCGCAGGGCGACGGTTGGCACGGATTCGTTGGCACCGGTGGTTGCTCTGAAAATAAAACAATACAATTCAATTAAAAAATCAACGTTGATGAATTAAGTAAGGAAATAATAATGCAATCAATGGGAAGATAAAATAATAAGAAATGTGTACAAGCCAATCTGCAATTAAGAACTTACTGGGCATCAAGAAGCATCTAGTGAACGGGTCTCCTGTGTATCCCTCGTCGCAGCTGCATATAGGGTTGTGATTTAGCACTTGGCATTTGGTGTTCTGACCGCAGGTTCCCGGACAAGGATCCTGGCATTTGTTATTCAGGCAAGCTTGAGTCAAAGGACATTCCGCGCTGACCACGCATTCTGGTCTGCATGCAGGAGGGCTCCCGATGAATCCAGATTGGCAGGAACAGACTGCATGGTCGTTCACCACTTTGCAGACGCTGTTCGCTCCGCAAGGTGACGGCGTACATGGTTGCCTTCTTGGTTCTGCAAAATAATAATACTATAATGTATAACTCCTGCACTTATGTATAATTTATAATTCTATATTAATTTGGTTTTATTTAAAACGTAAAAATTAACGAAGAATGTACCTTCAGAAATTTGTGGACGACACAATACAAATGGATCCCCGATGGTGCCAGTAGAACAACTGCACATTGGAATGTGATTTACCACGTCGCATCTCGCGTTGGTACCGCAGGTTCCAATGCACGGGTCCACGCAGTTGTGATTAACGCAAGCCTTTACTCGAGAACAGTCCGAATTCATCGTGCATTCTGGTCGACAGTACGAATAAGGATCGCCGAAGTAATTCGGAAGGCACGTGCAGATTCCGTCGTTGCAATCGGCGTTCGGTCCGCAAGGCGATGGGTTGCACAGATCCTCCGGTGTCTTCGGTTGTTCTGAAATAAAAAATATGCATTATTTAATGAAGTATTATAATGTATAATAAAATTTGTGTAATTATTAATAAAATTGAGGAATATACATAATGATTTTGAAATGATAAATAAAATAAGAAAGGCAGTGCATGTGACAATATAAAATATTAATAAATTATTGAAAGAGGATGATAACATAATAAATACCTATTATTTGTGAGCACAGGGTGAAGGGGTCGCCGGTGTAATCTTGCTGACATAAGCAAATGGGTATATGATTCTGCACTCGGCAGTCCGCGTTCTGTCCACAGGATCCAACGCAAGGATCTCGACATTTCTCGGAGATGCAAGCTTGATTTGACGGACAGTCTGTGTTGACAACGCATTCCGGGCGACAATTAGGCGGCAATCCTATGTAGTTCTTCAAACAGGAGCAAGCAGCCTGGTCCCCGATTGCTCTACATTCCGCGTACAAACCACAAGGACTTGGGCTGCAAGGATCACCCACCGGCGGCACTGGAGTGACTGCAGAAACAAATTGGAATAGAACAAAAATGTACAGATGATGAAAATAAAAGAATCCATGATTCGTCTATGACATGAGATGACAAAACTCACCTATCTGAGGATAACACCTGGAGAAGGGATCTCCCGTAGTTGCCTGCGGACAGCTGCACAACGGATTATGATTGATCACTCTGCAATTAGCTCCAACGCCACAAGTTCCAGGGCAAGGATCAGTGCACTTGTACTTGTAACAAGCTCTGTTCTGCGGGCATTCCGAGTTCACCACGCACTCCGGTCTGCAGTTAGGCGGTGATCCGACGAAAGACTCTTGGCAAGTACACACAGCTTGGTCGTTCACGGTTCTACATAGACTGTTAGGTCCACAGGGAGACGGCAGACAGGGATCGGTCACCGTGGGCTCGGTGCTTGGGCTGACCGGTAAAGTGCAACTGTTGAACGGATCTCCCACGTAACCGGGTTGGCAAGTACAAGTCGGGATGTGATTGATAACTGAGCACTGAGCTTGAATGCCGCATATTCCTGGGCAAGGATCCTCGCACTTGTTCCGCACGCAGGCTTTGTTGGTTGGGCAATCTGAACTAAGGATGCATTCCGGTTGACAGCCTTCGTAAGGGTTCCCGTGGTAATCGTCGATGCAGATGCACGCGCCGACGTTGTCGCGTTGCTGGCAAATTGCGTTGGGTCCACATGGCGATGGTTCGCATGGGTTAATAGCTTCTTCTGTAGATTCGAAGAAAAAATAAAATATATATAATAAAAAAAAAATTTCTCCTGTCATTTCAAATAAAGCAAATATTTAAGTGACTACATTTAGATGGACGATCATTGAATTGCATAATTAAAATTGAATGAACATACCTTCCAATATAATGCACTGAACAAATGGATTTCCCGTGTAGCCGGACGAGCACGAGCAAGTAACTGCATGGTTGACCACAAGGCACTTAGCATTCTCAGCGCAGGATCCAGAACAAGGATTCGTACACTTCGAATTTATACATGCCTTGTCCGTTGGACAATCGGGGTTTATCAAACACTCTGGACGACAGTTCGGGGGAGTTCCGATGTATGTAGGAAGACAAGAACATGTTGGGAAACCATTTATGTTTTGACACTGAGCATTTGGTCCACAGGGCGAAGGGTTGCAAGGATCTCCCGTTTCTTTTGTCTCTGGCGGCACTGTTAATTATTAAAAACAGAACAAATCGCATTAAATTGTATGTACAATTATATATTTCATAACATTTGTATTTGTTTAATCTTACGTTGAATTTCGTAACAACTCCTGAACGGATCTCCGGTTTGTCCAGGAACGCAACTGCAGATGGGCGAGTGATTAATGACTTCGCATCTAGCGTTCAATCCGCAAGAACCCAAGCAAGGATCGGTGCACTTTTGATTGACGCATGCACGCGTTGGTGGACACTCCGAGCTGACGACGCATTCAGGTTTGCAGGATGGCGGAGATCCGAGGTATCCTTGAAGGCAGGAACACACGGCATGATCCTCAATATTGCGACATTGACTGTTTGGCCCACATGGCGAGGGAGAGCATGGGTCCCTTGAAGATTGTGGAACTGAAAGAGAAATTGCGATTTATAAATGCATAGTTATTGAAAGTTGTCATTTAAAATAACAACATTCACTGATATTGTCAATGAGTCTCGAATAAATGATTTTTCACTTATTAAATTATTTTATATAAATAGTCACATTGACACAATCTGTTTACATGTATATTAATTTATGGATCGTAGAGTATTTTAAACTTTAAAAAAAATACTTACTTTGCGGTTGAACGCGGCAGTTGATGAAAGGATCTCCAACGTATCCAGACGGGCAAGAACAGACGGGAATGTGATTTATGATGTCACAAAGTGCGTTCTGACCGCACGTGCCGGGACAAGGATCCTTGCACTTGTTCTTCAGGCAAGTCTTGTCACGTGGGCACTCCGAGTTGAGGATGCATTCTGGCCTGCAAGCTTCGTAAGGGTTGCCGATGTATTCAGGCAGGCATTCGCATTCACCGTTCTTGCATATCGAGTTCGGCCCGCAAGGCGACGGACTGCATGGGTCGCTCACAGATGGTACGGTTGCTTAAAACGAAAACGATATTCAATTTGTACTTCACAATACTACAGATCTAAATCTAAATAAAAAAAATCATCAAAATCTTACTTGGAGGAATGACTGTGCATTGAGTAAACGGATCACCGGTGAATCCTTCCATACAAGTGCACACAGGAATGTGGTTCAAAATATGACACTGTGCATTGACACCACAAGAGCCTGGACAAGGATCTTGACACCTCTGGTTCACGCAGGCGAGATTACTCTTGCATTCAGAGCTTAAAATGCATTCTGGCCTGCATTCTGGAGGGACGCCGATGTAATTCGGAAGGCAGGAGCAGGCTGGGTTTCCGGATATGATCTGGCACAGGGAGTTTGGCCCGCAAGGTGATGGGCTGCACGATGGCGGCCGTTCCGTGGTCGAAGGAACGTCATAAGCTAATGGAAGTGTTATATTAATTAATGATACTGAAACATTAAATATTATTTATTACATTATTATTGAACATTATTCTTACCAAGAGAACATTGAGTGAAGGGATCACCAGTGAATCCGGTAGGACACGTGCAAATTGGATTATGGTTCTTGGTGGTGCACTGTGCCCTCAATCCACATGTATTCGGGCAAGGATCCGCGCACTTTTTGTTCAAACAAGCCAAATGGGGCGGACACTCCGCGTTCACTATACATTCCGGTCTACAATTCGGTGGAATTCCTCTGTATTCCGGAAGACACGTGCAAACTGCCTGACCATTCACTTCACGACACTTGCTGTTGGGACCGCAGGGCGACGGTGAACATGGATCTAATGGTGGCATTTCTAGAAATGAATTTATGAAAATGAAAGTTATATTCGTATCATAAATTATTATTATACATAAATTATGTCATTACGTATTATATAAATTATGTATAAATTATAAGCAATTTTATGATATTCCACACTTACTCGTCATTTCTTTAATTTCGCAAGCGAAGTACGGATCTCCCGTGTATCCTGGAGGGCAAGTGCATACAGGTACATGCTCCTGGACTCTGCAGATGGACAATGTGCCGCAAGTGCTCGGGCAAGGATCGGAACACTTGAATCCGACACAAGCCAATTGCGGGGCGCAGTCGTTGTTCGATTCGCACTCTCTGTGGCATCCCTTATCGTTATCGTACGGGTCGCCAACGAGGTCCAGTGGGCAGACGCATGCTCCGGCACCATTCCTCTCGCGGCATTGAGCGTTGGGCCCGCACGGATTTGGAGAACATGGATTGGCAATGCTGATATCTGTTGCTGGATGAAGATGTTAAATTCTTAGTCCAAAATAAACACGAAATTGATGGGAAGAGTATGAATGAATTTATATATTTAATTTTAAGAAGTTTATGTGAATCAGATTTTGATAATTTAAATGAGAGAGTTGTTATTAAAATTGGGAAGAATCTTACTTGGTGGCGGTCCCAGGAAACAGCGAACAGTAGCGTCACCCTCGTACCCCTCAGGACAGGTACAAATAGGAACATGATTCTGCACTGAACACCTAGCCAGTTCGCCACAAGCTCCAGGACAAGGATTCTTGCACAGCTGATTAATACACGCTGCCGAGTGGAAGCAATCAGAATCATCCACACACTCGGGTCTGCAATTCGGCGGTCGTCCAATGTAATTCAATAAACAGGAACACGCCGGCTGTGAGCCGATTACTCGACATTGCGAATTCGGTCCACATGGGTTGGGCTCGCATGGATTTCCAACATCTTTGAACGGTGGTTGAGTCATGTTGAACCTCGTGCACTGCAGCAATGGATTGCCAGTGTGTCCAGTCGCGCAGGAGCAGATGGGATTGTGATTCACTGTCAAGCATTTCGTGTTCACTCCGCAGGATCCTGGGCAAGGATCCGCGCACTTGTTATCGATGCAGGCTCTGTTCTGAGAACATTCTGCGCTGACTATGCACTCCGGGCGACAACCTGGAGGTACACCGACGAATCCTGGTTGACAAAGGCACACAGCGTGTCCGTTGTGCACGCGACAGTTGCTGTTGGGTCCGCAAGGCGATGGCTCGCAAGGGTTGATAGGCAAGGGTTCTGGAGTTACTTCAATTCCCATGCACGCGGTGAAAGGATCGCCGGTGAAACCGGGTAAACAGGTGCACGACGGAGCGTGGTTTACGACTCTGCAAGTGGCGCTTTGCCCGCAGGTACCTGGACAAGGATTCGCGCATTTGTTGTTTTGACAAGCTTTGCTCGGATCGCAATCGGAGTTCTTCAGGCATTCTGGTCTGCAGCCTGTGTATGGATCGCCGATGTATTCTGGCAGACAAGTGCAGGAACCGACGCCGTTACGCTCGTTGCAGATCGCGTTCGCACCGCAGGGTGATGGATTACAAGGGGTGCGAGGCTGTTCTGTTGTCGTAGGTTCTAAACAGATTAGATATCATTTGAAATTTGTTGAGAAAAAAATAAAAGAAAACAAACCATACTTTACGAATATAACAAAATTAACTAATTCAACTTGAGACAAAAATAAAATTAATATTAAATTTAAACATAAGGAATGGGTCAAAAAGAAATGATTCTATATAATAGTAAGATGTTAAGATTACCTTCTAATATGGGTGTACACTGGATGAATGGATCCCCGCTGTGGCCAGCGTTGCAAATGCAAACTGGATTATGTTTTACGACATTGCAGAAGGTATTGATACCGCAAGATCCTGGGCAAGGATCCACGCATCGATCGTTGCGACAGGCGAGATTTCCGGGACACTCAGCGTTGCTAGTACACTCTGGGCGACAGTTAGGTGCCTTGCCGATGTAGTTTGGCAGACAGGAACATGCCGGGAAACCATCGATCACGCGACACTGAGAATTCGGTCCACAAGGTGATGGAATACAAGGATTTCCGCTCGGTTCTGATCCTGGTTGCTTTCCTTCCGCTTTAAAAAAAGTCAAAATCAAAAATGAAATGAAATTGATGAAACAAGTAATAAATAAAAATTGAAATTGAATAGTACAGATAATAAATTCAGAGTTTTAATAAAACAAATAAAAATCTCTTACGTTCTCTGGCGCATCCGAAGAACGGGTCTCCAGTGAATCCGGATATGCAACTGCACACTGGATTATGATTGCTGACTTGGCAATCAGTGTTCTCGCCACAAGTACCCGGGCATGGGTCTCTGCACCTCCGTTCGATGCAAGCAGTGTTCAGCGAGCAGTCAGCGCTAGATTCGCACTCCGGTCGACACTGTGGAGGACTGCCGACGTAATCCGGTTGACAGGAACACACAGCATGATTGTCGATTACTCTGCAATTGCTGTACGGACCACATGGCGACGGTTGGCATGGATTTTCTGGCGCTATTACTGAAACAAAATGAACGATTAAACATTTGTACAAATGAAACGTTAATATTATAATAAAATTCATATATGTTAATAAAAATAATTAAAGGAATTAAGGATTCGATGTTTACCTGCACAGCTCTGATAAGGATCGCCAGCGGTGTGATCCGGGCAGTAGCAAGGAGGCACTCTGTTCGAATCGCACAAGGCTCCGATTCCGCAGGGATTCGGTTCGCACTCGTCAGATCGAGGCACGCAGCCTCTAACTGTGTTGGGACTTTCGATGAACCCTGGCAGACAGCTACATTTGGAGAGACCGTTATCTAACACGGTGCATTGTGTGTTTGGTCCACAGGGGGATGGTTCACAAGGATTGCCAGGTAAGGTACAAGGCGTGTTAGGAGGATTTCCTTCGTATCCTGGCAGACAGAAACATCTCACTTGCCCTGATATCAAGCGGCAGCCGGAATTCACACCGCAAGGGTTCCCTTGACACTGATCGCCTTCTGGAACTGATGACAAAAATTATTAAGGAAAAATTTAATTAATGATCAACATCAATCATAAATATTAAAAATGATATATTATATTTAATTTATATAAGACAATAATTATTTTAATTTTGAAGTTTGAAAAAACTTACTGCATTTCTCAAACGGATTTCCGGTAAGCCCCTTAGGACAGAAGCATATCGGATTGCCATTGTCATTTTCGCACATAGCATCCAAGCCGCAAGGATTCGGCACGCATGGATCTGTGGTTAATTGCGTGCAACCGACGTGGGGGTTGCCTTGGAATCCGGGCAAGCACTTGCATTGCGCTTGATGGTTCTCCGAGTAGCATTTGGTGTTGTCGCCGCAGTCGGCTTCCGCGCAAGGGTTGATGCACTTCCGGTTCAGCCGGTCGCAGTATTTAGATGGTGGACAGTCTTCGTTATATTGGCATACGTTCCTTCCTTCCTCTTCTGAAATTATTTTAAAAGTTCGAATATCCGAATTGAATATTCCTGAACATTTATATTAATGTTCATATATAAATTTTAATAAATAAATACCTAGTTCGCAATAAGAGAAACCGTTCCCGTGGTATCCTTCCTCGCAGCTGCAGTCGGCCTTGTGATTGGTGTTAACGCAGATCGCGTTCGCGGCGCAGGGATTCCAAACGAGACACGGTTCCTGACAGGTGCCCTCGATGCACGCCTCAGTCAACGGACAATCTTTGTGGCTAGTGCAACCCGCTAAAGGGGGATCGAAGAAAAAAGCCCATATAGCCCCGAGGAAAGGGTGCACGAGTAATAAAATGGTGTCGAGTGATTGCTCAGGCTTGTATGAAACAGTGTATGTACTATATGTGTCTCTGTGTTCAAGTGCGCGAAGATCTGTGTTCGTGTCGTTGAACGAGTTCACGTATAATTATCAAGTGTTGATAGATAGAATTTTAGATCTCAGAGATTGTACAGATATCGTGTGAATCGAGATTGCACGTTGTATGTGCAATATTCATATGTACAATACATACATATTTACAGAACGAGTTGTATGCTTTTGCGCTGTAAAAATAGGTAAAGGGGTGGAGGTTCTCGCTCTTGTACAAACCTTTGATACAAGTGTACGTAGTTGGGTCGCACTCCATGCCAGGCGGGCAATAAGGACAATCTCTACCATCCGTTACATCTGAGAAAAATATGGAAAATAATTTTTTTTTTTATGTTAATTTCATCCCTTTCGTTTGGATTTTGAAAATTAATTTGGTACCTTTCACGCAAACGGGTCTGTGATCCTGAACGTGGCAGACTTCGACAAAGTCGCATGGGTTGTGAACGGTGCACGGGTTCAGGCATTGCTCATTTATGCAGGCCAACTGGGAGAGACAGTCGTCGTGCGTTTTGCATTTGGTATCTGACGAAACGAATCCTATATTAGTAGCTCAAAATAACTCGGCCATCAGTTATTTCGAATATATAATTTATTCAAAAGTCATCTATATTCAATAACTTCTTTGACGTATTATGAAATTGTACACATATAAAAAAAAAATGGTATATACACAATCTTCTAATATCTAAGACATATAGTGGTTTTGTGTTACATGTGTAAAGCCCAGAAACAAATGTTAATTTCCACTCTTAAAGGAGACATTCTATTCGACAGTTTTAATCATTATCCAAATGTGATATTTCAAGTATTACAAATGATAATTAATAAAATGTTACGTAGAATGAAACGAGTCTTTTAAGAGTGGATTCCATGAAGGAATTACAATTAATTGCTACGTATAGATAAGCGAAAGAGAATGTGCAGAGGCGCAACATAATAATAATAATGTACAAGCATGCGAAAGAGCGCTAATGCAGCAGGTCTATGTCTGCACTGGGTTGCAGCAGTGTTTAATAACTATGTCTAATTCATATTCGATTCATCGTGACGTTCCCACGTGTACATTGGATTAAAAATGATCTGTCGATCACAAAAAGAAAGGTACAACTCTCCAGAATTGGTTGCCTCCAATTTTCATCTGGATTGACTGGACGACGTCTCTCACATTGGAGAACGTTTTGCCGAAACACAGAAACACTGACGGTGGACACGAGAACAACACATTTACAATGGACTCCCGACAAGAGAGATCATTTTACCTGGGAGTACGCTACAATTAGTTGTACTCTGGTTTAGGTTGAAGCACACGGGCCGACACGTGTCGTTCGGACAGATTTTACAATCGGTAGCATTGATGGTAGTAGTCTGTTCGCAAGCTGTATACCCTGGAGTTGTTAGAGTCGTGTGTGGTTCTGTGGTTAGTCGTTCGGATGTTAACTCGGTTGTATACGGTTCAGTTGATTGTTCCCCGATTTGTTGCTCGGTTGTCGTCGACGGGGTAAAGTATTGTTCGGTCGATGATTCTGTTGAGTATTTCGTGGCAGTTGATGATTTTTCTGTTGAGTATGTTTTTATTTGTTCGGTTGTTAACAATTGTTCCGTCGAGTATTCTGTCGACGTCGCATATTGAGTCGTTAATTGTTCTTCCGTGATGTGTTGTTCGGTTGTTGAGTATTGGGTGACTCCGGGAACTTTTTCTGTTGAGTATTGTGTTGTTAATTGCTCAGTAAAATATTGCTCTGTCGTGGAAGATTGTTGCGTATAATATTCAATTGTTGAAGTTTGTTCCGTAGTTATTGAAGATTTTTCTGTTGAATATTGTTCGGTAATTAAAGGCCGAACTGTGGAGTATTCCGTTGGATATTCTATAGTTACTGAAGATTGCTCTGTAGAATATTCTGCAGTTGTTGACAACTGTTCTATTGAAATCTCCGTAGTTGTCAAAGATTCCCGCGTCGAATATTCTGTTTCCATTGAAGTAAATTGTTCAGTCGTGGTTTCATGCTTTAAAGGATATTCCGGTGTCACAGTAATCAACGTTACATTCTCTGTCGTTCCTAGATTCAAATTCTCTGTGCTCAGTGGCATTTTATTAGTGGTTTCTTGAAGAGTAACAATTTCTGGAGAACTTGTTTCCGTAACTTCTGATACCGTAGAGTATTCAGTCGTTGTCTCATGCTTTAAAGGATGTTCAGTCGTCGTTTCATATTTCGTAGGATATTGCGCTGTGACAGTGATCAATGTTACATTCTCTGTCGTCCTTAAACTCGTACTTTCTGTATTCGTTGGTATTGTATTAAAACTTTCTTCAGATGTACTTTCAGTAGAACTTCTTTCAGTAAATTCCATCATTTCTGTAGTGGATTCGTTTAAATATACAGGAGTTACAGTAACAACTTCCGGTATTGTAGCGTATTCAGTCGTCGGATGTTTCAAGGGATACTGTGCCGTCACTGTGATCAATGTTACACTTTCTGTCGTTCCTATACTCGTACTCTCCGTACTCATTGGTATTGTGTTAGTACTTTCTTCAGATGTACTTTCACTAGAAACTCTTTCAGTGAATATTGTCGTTTCTGTAGTGGATTCGTTCAAATATATAGGTGTCACAGTAATAACTTCACCAGACGGCGAAGTTCTATTCGTTGGATGAAAATATACAACCGGAGTAACTATTTGAATTTTCTCAGTCGTAGTCCCCTGAGTCTCAAACAATTCTGTGGTAGATACTACTTCAGTTGTACCAGTAGGTTCATACTCTATGCCTTTTACTGTTGGAACAGGTTCCGTGTTCTCTTCAGAAATATCTTTGACAGTAGGCACTTCTATCATAGAAGTAGTGCTCCCGATAGTCTCAGTTGTACCAAACACAATTATAGTAGGCACGGTCGATTCCACGGATACGGTATTTTCTTCAACACTGGGAATTGTCATAGTTTCCGTCACTGTCGGAACAAATTCGGTGTTCTCCATTGAAATGTCTTTAACAGTCGGTACTTCTGCTTCAGAAGTAGTACTTTCGATAGTCTTAGTAGTACCAGATACAATTATAGTAGGCACGGTCGATTCCACAGATACGGTATTTTCTTCAACACTAGGAATTGTAACAGTTTCCGTCACTGTTGGAACAAGTTCCGTGTTCTCCGTAGAAATATCTTCAACAGTCGGCACTTCTGTCATAGAAGTAGTGCTCCCGATAGTCTCAGTAGTACCAGATACAATTACAGCAGGCACAGTCGATTCCACGGATACAGTATTTTCTTCAACAGTAGAAATCGTGGTAGTTTCCATACTAATCATACTCGAGGATTCAGTAGTTCCTATCGAAGTCGTACTCTCTTCATACTCATGAGTAGTAATATTAGATTGTGTGCTGGTTAAGAGTGTAGTGGTTTCATAAATCTCTGTGGTGTTTGTACATGTGTAATCGTCGCAGCAAATAGGCCTGTGTGCTTTAACCAGACATCGAACCGCCGATCGACATCGGTCGACGCAAGGATCGACGCAGGACCCTTCGACACAGGCTTCTGTGTCGGCGCAATCCTCGTCGTACTCGCAGATATTGTCTGTGGTCGCGTTGTGGAGAACTGCTGCAGGATACATAATAGAATATAATAACAGAAGTCGACGAGAGAAGTAAAAAGAGGCAGCTGAAAACGTTTCAAGCCAGTCGCTATCTTCAACATTAGACTATCGCTACGAGATCGACATACTAATTTACGCCAATAACAAAGAGTCTACGAATTATTGTCAGATTATGGTTAAGCATGCTCACGCAGTAAAGCTATCAGAAATATGTATATGTAATCGACGTTAAGTCTTTACAGAGACAGATGTAACGGAGAAATAAAATATCGTTGGACGGTGAGGACGTCGGCGGAGCGAAGGCGGGAGCATATGGGAGTCGTATACGTGACATTTGGGTCCTGAAACGTTCTTTTTCCTCGTTCAAACAATGGAATAGATTCCGTCGACAACGTTTTATTTACAAAGTAAATATCGATTAGAGATAGAAACGTATTCCACTGTCGTGAAAGATAGAAACCTGAAAAGTAGCAACTGATATGTTCCGTGTGAGGCTAGTACAGAGAGAAGTATTTCATGACAACGTGGATAAATTTTTGTGCAGAATTAACGTGTATATAATTTTTATACAAACAATATATGTACGATATATTGAGAGAGATAGAGGTAGTCGATTAGAAGAGCGTGATAGGGCAGACCTATAAGAAGTGAGAGAAGAGATAGGTGGTGAGAAATGGTGTTTACCTTTCATGCATCCGTATTTAGTATCTGGCACAAAGCCGGGGGGACAGAACTTGCAGATAGGCTTGTGCTCCTCCACGTAACAGGGGGCATCAGCCGGACAGGTGGAGTTTCTGCATGGGTCCACGCAGCGATAGTTGCGGCACGCCAAGTCTGGAGAGCAGCCACTGTCACGCAGGCAAATGGAGAGGGAGGGATTGCAGTTTTGTGTGCATATGCATACGGGACGGTGGTCCAGGACGTCGCAGGTTTTGTCGGCCGGACACGGTTTTCTCTTACGGACGTTACACGGGTTCTGGCATTTCCCGTTCACGCAGGCCGCGTTCGACGGACAGTCGAAGTCCCTCGCGCAGGTCAACGTGTCCGGAGCGCACGTCAACTCGCCGACCTCGTTCACGACAAACCCGTACTTGCAGACGCACGTGGGCCGGTGGCTGCGCACCTGGCACCTCTTGTTCACCTCGCAGCCGTACTGCGGGCCGAGGCACGGGTCGCGGCACTCGCCGGTGCGGGAATTGCAGGACAGGCTCTCGGGACAGTCGCGGTCCGAGGAGCAACCGATGCTAGGCGTCGGCCTCGGGTTCAGCGTTTCGCATTTCGGGTCCGGGTGGCAGGCCGTGCGCGGCATGCCGATATAGCACTGAGGACAGGAGCACCGGGGCTTGTGCAGAACCACGCGGCACAGGGCGTTGATCCCGCAGGCACCCCGGAGACCGCACGGGTCCACGCATTGCAGGTCAATGCAGGCTTTTTCGTTCGGGCACTCTAGGTCACTGGTGCATTCGCGCTCTATATTCACCGAAGACAAACCGACGATTTCCATTCAATTCGATTTTTTTGTTGTTGTATTGTAACAGTGTTGTGGAGAACGGTAGGTGGCGATGATCGTGGTTGGTGGTGGTGGGACAGGGAAAAAAAAGAAAAAAGCATTTTATAAGAACTGTGAAAAGAAACTTTCTCACAAATAACATAAACCACATGCTTTGTATTCGTAATACGGAAATAAGTAAGGGTAGCTTTCGTGAAGAAGTAAAATAGAGTATCGGAACTTTACATTGTTTGAACAACACGGATCCTTCCTCGTTGTCCGGAATTAATATATATACATACGAGTGTATATATATATATATATGTATGTATGTATAATTGGCAAGCAGCAATATTTACAACACAAGCCCCCGAAAGAAAATAAGAGGGAAAAATAATGTAAAACAGTGGATAATTCCAGCAAAATAACAACAAGCATGGGTATATGAGAATGTCCCTTTCGCAGTTCCCAATCTGTGTCAATAATTAGTCCTAAAGTCTAAAAAAAAAAGAAAACGGATCATCGGTGGTTCGTTCTCTGTAAAATGTGTGCCTTTTTTTTTTTTTAATCGTTGCAACATTTGTCGTCTCTCTCTGTCTCTACTTTTCGCTCATTTCTTTTTTTCTCGATAGACAGACATTACGCGATCCACAAGACAGATTGGATACTGAAATAAACATTCTACATATGAATAGTTTACGTGTGAGACGTGTGTAAAACGTGTTCTCCTCCATTTCCTTGGACACATTATGTACAGAATCGCCTAACTGCATAGATATATGTACAAGTATAATAATGTCTGTGTAAAATCCAGTGTCGTACTCTGTTTCCTTTTGTACAATATGTATAATAGTAGAGAGTATCATCAAAATAACTGGTCCAATCACATCTGTCTCTCGATTGTTAAACGATCCACTGGATTAATACAATAGGTCTAATACAGTATTAAATACTTCAAGTCCTACTGAAGACATGGTTATTCTACGGACCATGTATTCCTCCGTTCTCGTCAGTAAATAAATAAGTTGCTCGCTAGTCACAAATGCTGTACATGAAATTAATCGATCAGCCCGGTTAAACGAGTTAGTAGGCCGGCTCTTACCTGAGCTGCACTCGACGTCCGGCGATCCGCTGGTACCCGGTGGACATCTGCACACGAATATCGCACCGTCTCGTATGCACTCGGCACCCTTGCCGCAGCCGTTCGTGCGACAGTCGCCCAGGCTCTTGTCACCGCTACCTGTGCTCGCAATCATAAATCATATTCAACAAGACTGTACATTCTAAACGTGATCATCCTTTCCTCTTTGTAACCCGATGGCAATTATTTTATTATGAAAAATGCTGTTTCATTTATAACATCATTTTATAATTTTATTCCATGTCTTATTGAGTGATAGAATTTTTTCAGAAATGTACTCACAGGCATGCATCGGGTCACCGGATGGGTAATTTGGTGGACAGTAGCACTGGGGTTGGTTCTTGTAAATTCTGCAAGCAGCGTTCACGCCGCATCGCGTTTCCTTGCACAGTTCCCCACCGCAGATGCAAACCTGATGTGGGTCCCCTTGGCATCCTGGGTCGCAGGTGCATTCGAATCCGTTCAACGTTTCTCTGCACTTCGCGTTCACTCCGCAGGGTCTCCTTAGACACTCGTCGCCACCTAAGACATAAATGAAAAGCATTATTGCTGATTAAATTAATAGATTACAGATTTATAGAGAGATGTGCCGGAAGTCGAAAATCTAATACACATAATTACTTTTCCCAATCTAGATTTCATTTTTTAAATTGACAATACAAGTCTTTCATTTCGTAAAAGGTATATAAAAAAATGAATTCTTCTTACCTTTCTTACAGTTGATCTTAGGATTTCCATAATGTCCGGGTGGACAGGAGCACTGTGCCTTTCTGTTAACCACCCTGCATTGAGCGTTGAAGCCGCAGACTCCGTGTTGCAGGCAAGGATTGGTGCAGACACCATCCTCGCTGCAGTGTTTGTTGGCTTCGCAGTCGTCGTCCCGGTGACATTCCAATTGGTAACACTCTTGGCTAGGTTCGCCCTGGAATCCCTCGGGACACAGGCACACCGCTCTATGATTGGAAACGCGGCAGAGTGCGTTTGTCCCACAAGGTGATCCGTTTGCCGAGCATGGATCCTCGCAACGGTTGCTGATGCAGGATAACGCGGAAGGACAGTCGGAATGAGTGCGACAACCAATCAGACACAACCCTCCTTCGCAGATGTAACCCTGTTCCAAATAAATTATATATTATAATATACATATATACATCATATATTAATAAATTTTAAAAACATTTAAAAA